AGAGGTATCCTGAAATAGCTACCCCGCATCTTGTGAATGCATCCACTATTTTGAAATATAGCGGACGCAGTGTTTCGCTATCCCTGTAAACCTCATTCTATGAGGATTAAGGGATGGCTCGAAATAGCGCTTTATTTCAAAATTTTGCACTGTATCGACAGCACCAAATAACGAAATAAGCTATTTCAAAATAGACTCAAAATAAGATATACAAATTGCACATCTTATTTCCAGTTTCGGGTGCTGTGTAGACGCACCCTGAGTTATGGTGTCTTCTAGTAGATCTCTTGACCCCTCTGTTTCTCAGTTTCCTATTCTTAAAACGGGGATAACGTCCTTTTCATAAGAATGTGATAAGGATTAATTAATACTATAATATGGCACTGTGGAAAAGTTGTTGTCTGCAAATGCTAAATGTTCTTATTCTAACATTTGTTACTTGTATTTAAAATAGATTTCATGTGAATGCGTTCAATTTGGACTTTAAAAAAATCTGTTGGTATTATAAACATATGAGATTGTAATTCTGGTTACTGACTAAGTAGGATAAAGGCCTTTACCTGAAAGTTAACTGACAAATCCTTCCTTTTACTCTTAATCAGGAACTATTTTGTTTGGTTTTGGTCTCCATAGGCTGATGGAAATGGTACCAAAAATGGTACCTACCAGCTGTGCTTTATTTTGTTTAAAAATATTGAAAAAGTAGAGCTACCTATTAAGATCAATAAATGATTTTACTTGAAGAGCACGATATAGCCAGTATCTGGAAACTTGTTCTGTTTCTTTTTTTCCACCTCTTCCTCCCTTTTCTTGCTGGCTGGCTGACTGGTGGCTGTTTTCTGGAGTGCCCTTCTGTGGCTCCGGCTGTTCACGCTCTTGGCTTTCCTTATTAACACGTGATGTGTGGATGGTGCTTTTGTGAACGTCAGCATTTCCAAGCCTTACATGTGTTGCATTGCTAAGCAACTTTTAGCAATGCTTATCCCCCATCCTTATGCCATCTGGAAGAGAGGATGATACAAGGAAGTATGCCAAGGAGAGGCTGAAGGCAAATCAGAGAAAGAGATGGCTTAATTATATTGCAGAGGAAGTGACCCAAACAGAGAGCACTCGTGACAGTTGGTAAAAGGTGGACAGGAACTTTTATGGATGAGGATGATGGACCATAAGAATGATTGCATATCTTGGTACTTTCACTGTCTTTTTTAAGTGTTTTGAAATCTTGCATCTTGATAGCTGCTGAAAAAAGAGGCATGCTGAGTAGAACTCTATGGCTGTTGTTAAGTTGCTGCACCAAAATACTCCCTCCTGTTGGCTGTTGCACTGCAGCAAGTTTTGCCTCAGTGTCCTCATTACTATCCCTTTGGTCTACTTCAACCATAAGATTGTCTAAGTCTTCCAGCCAAATCACTTTGCAGTCATGCCCCTTTCCAGGCCACAGAATCCTCTACCAAAGTCAAAAATAAATGTAAACAAAAAAAGTCTTCAAACAAGCTGTACTCAGCTGTCCACCTCTTCCTCATAAGTGAAACTAATCCACTATAGCTTGCCCCAATGCCTTGTATCAAGTTCCTGTGCCTTCAGGAGCTCCACTCTCCAAGTGCTGGCACACTCACTCTTCTTCTCACTTGGGATTGAGGCAAATTAGATCTTCTCTGGGCCCTTGTCTGGCTTCTAGCTTACCTCTGGAGTAGCATGACTATTCCGCTGCTTTCTCAGCCTTGTTTCACGGTGCTTATTACATAGAGGGAAGAACTTAGTTCGCCCTTTCCCAACCTGGCCTTTATGTAAATAAGCCCTATTCTCCTCCAGCTAGGCTCTGTCTCTAATTTGGCCTGCCCCACACTTCAGGTGTGAGCAGGATGGTTAATTGTTTCTCATATTAACTCTTTCCAACCATGTGCG